CAGTGAAACTTTCACTTACTTCTCATTGTTCTCTATGTATTACAGCAATTTCAGCCTCTGAATGGCATAATAGCTGGCACTTGTCCAATAATCCCAGCGTTTAGCATTTCTCTGTCTGGACAGAGAATGACAGTACAAAAGATCTAGCTCCAGCAAAATATATGGCACTTGATGACTACTACTATTTACTCACTCACACCCTCAGCATGAAGCAAGAACTGGAGAACATCAGACTTGCTGTTCCTATTATGCAGGGTTTTGTCCTTTTATTAACAAGCCAATAGTCTACACATTTTAAAGCAATTTCATCATCTTGCTCAATTTCTCCCTGTGGTCATATGTATTCTTTTTCCTGGAGGTGATCCAATGACAAGGAGCAGCTACTCTTCCTGATCTGCCCATGAGTTACAAAATGTCCAAAAGGTGCTAGGTGACCAAGCACAGCTATTAATTATCTGGTCTTTTGGGGAAATAAATGGACATGCAATTCTACATGCACTATGTTCAAAGAGGTCCACTGCATTCAGCGCAACTTCTGAATGGACCTTTTCAAAAGCTCCACCTTCCCTCCCTCCGGCTGAACCTTTAGGTAGTAGTCTCACCCTGAACGCTTTGCTTCTGGAACTCCCCACAACGTCTGCAATCTAAGCTGGAGATATCGAAGTACTGAGCCCCAGTGCAGCTCTGTGGGTCGCGCAAGGGGAGAAAGAAGCCGCGGCCCGCGCTCAACGGGAGCATCAGCAGCGCCGCAGCAAACCACCGCCGCAGCGTCGCCATGGCTACTCAAGCTTCGACCCCGCTCATCTCATTGAGAACTCCCTGGTTGGAAAGGCGGGGTTTGAAACTCGAACTACGGTACGCCAAGAGGGTTAAAAAAAAAAATCGCAGGCGTACACAGCGTCACGTTCTCCGTGTCTATATTCCGTTAAAGTATCGAGAGATCCTGAGGCTCATTCAACGGAAGGTGGATGAGATTCAATTGTAAATGGAATTCTTGGGACTGAACATTACATTTCAATCATTTGATGAGTGAATAGCAGCCCATGAAAATCTGCATTTCTTGCTCCGTGTTGTTATTTTTTGTTGAATTTAAACAAAACATTGCATTTAAAAACCACTAATTGAGCATGCAATGCATATATTGATTGCTTTATTACCTATGAAATCTCAAATAGAAAGAAACATGGTTAGTATTAGGACATGATTGATATGATTAAATGGATGGCTACAAAAGTTTATTAAATTTAGCTTTCATTTTCACAGCTCTTTTTTGATGTAATAATCTTTGAGCAACACCCAAGTAATTTTAAACACTTTTATGTAAGAGATTATGTATGTACCTATTATGTACTTTGCAGTGTTTTGCAGTAACACATTTTGCAGGTAATGATTTTGAATCTATTTCTTAAGCTGCTACAACTGGCAAAATGAACAAAATCGATTTGTTGAAACAATACATACTTTTTAAAAAATATTAAAAAAATTATAAAAGTGCTTATTGTAATATAAATAAATTTAAATATAAAACTGTTTTCTAACCAGCTGGAAAACCCGTAACTCCACACTTGGACACTGAAACCTCCAGATGAGTTGAATTCCATTATCATTTCATAACTGTTCTGTTGGAAGTTAAAACCCACCCCTCTCCTAGGAAAATGAAATATTTTAGGATACACAAAGAAGGCAGAATATTTCTCCTAAAAAGGAAAGTAAAAACTCAGACACAGAAACTCAGACCCACCCCACCTTGGCTAATGGACCATTTACTCTGTACTGGGCCGGTCTATTTTACATAACAAAGATCTAGTCCAGGTAGAGCTATAATAGGAATTGCCCAAAGCCCTTTCATTGCATCGTCATCCAGTAAGGCTCAACCAAGCCTGGGACTCAGGACAGCTTATAGAGTTGCCCCTGCATGGCCCCATGGGAGTTTGACAACCAATCAGAATACAAGCTTAAATTCAAATCCCAACAGAGGGCATAAAACCGCATCAGGATCTCTGCCCTTCTTCTCCTTCACCCAACATCTTGAAGCATGTGATCGTTCTTTTCACTTTGGAGCTCCAAGCCATGTGGTCCTGTCCACCATTAAACCATCTTTCCAAACAGCCTCCATGTTTTCAGTGTCTTTTTCCCCACTTGGAACTGAACCTAGAAGGATATTTCTTTCAACAGTTCAAAGTTACAATGGCATTGAAAATGTGATTTTTCACACTTTCAATTGTTGCATCATTGCCACAGTCACATGGTAAAAATTTGGGCATTTGGCAACTGGTATGTATTTATCATGGTTGCAGCATATAATGGCCCCAATTGTCATTTCTGACCTTCTCAGTCAGCTTCTGATAAGCAAAGTCAACGGGGAAAGCTGGGTTCGCTTAATGACTGCATGATTCACTTAACAGTTGCAGTGATTTGCTTAACAACCCTGTCAGAAAAGGTTGGAAAAATGGGGTGTGAATTGCCAAGAATAAGACATGACTGAATGGATAACATCATCACCACTGTCTATCTGTATCACAATACTATTCAAGTCTAAGCTCAAAAACATCAAGGAAATTATTTTTTTCATGCATATGAAATATAGAGAAGAATGCTGCATTAAAACGAGATAAAAATCAGTCACATGAAATCAATCTATTTTAAATCAAAGGTCTTTGGTTTTCACGATGATGGCATTATACACATCGTTATACTTGTATATTTATTTTTATTTATTTATTTTGATTTGTCAATCGCTTACAGTATAATAGGTATAAGTATATACATAGTTATGAATACATGAAATGGGTACAAAAGAAAAATAAAAGAAACAATAGGACAGGGATGGTAGGCATGTTGGTGCGCTTATGCACACCCCCTACAGACCTCTTAGGAAAGGGGTGAGGTCAATAGTAGACAGTCTAAGGTTAAATTTTTTGGGCTTTGGGGAAGAAACCACAGAGTCAGGTAGAGTATTTCAGACATTGAGCACTCTGTTGCTGAAGTTGTATTTCCTGCAATCAAGTTTGGTGCTGTTAACCTTGAGTTTGTATCTATTGTGTGCTCTTGTGTTGTTATGGTTGAAGCTGAAGTATTCATTGACAGGTAAGTCATTACAATGTATGATTTTATATACCATACTTAGATCAGACCAAAGATGGTGTAATTCAAGGTTTTCTAGGTCTAGAATTTCAAGTCTGGTGGCATAAAGTATTCTACGAGTAGAGGAGTGGAGAACTCTTCTTGTGAAATATTTCTGGACTTTCTCAACTGTGCTAATATCAGATACGTAATGTGGGTTCCAGACTGATGAGCTGTATTTGAGTATTGGTCTAGCAAATGTTTTGTATGCTCTAGTTAGTAGTGTGATATTACCAGAGAAAAAGCTACGTAGGATTAGGTTAACAACTCTTAATGCCTTTTTGGCTATGTAGTTAAGTGGGCTCTAGCACTTAGATCATTAGAGATGAGTATTCCAAGGTCCTTTACAGAGCTTGGATCATCAACAAGGTCTTGACTATTCAACCTGTATTTATTTTCTGATTTTTTTTTTTTTTTGCCAATATGTAAGACAGAACATTTATTTGTTGAGATTTGAAGTTGCCATTTGTTTGACCATTCTGATACATAGTCAAGACCTTTTTGAAGGGTAGCAGTATTGTCTGTGGTATTGAACAGCTTTACATCATCAGCAAAGAGAACGCAGTTGCTCTTAATATGATCAGAGGTCATTTATGTAGAGTATGAAGAAAGTTGGTCCTAGAACACTGCCTTGGGGGACACCACTATTGACAGGTACAGAATTTGATAGGACACTCCCAATTTTGACCATTTGTTGTCTGTTTGACAGGAATGCTTCTATCCAGTTATGCAGTTGTCCAGAGATACCATAAGATTTTAGTTTTAGGAGTAGTTTGTCTTGTACCACTGAATCAAAGGCTTTACAGAAGTCCATGTAGATTGCGTCTATTGATTTGCCCTGGTCGAGTTGTGTAGTCCATGTTTTTGCAGTGTAAGAGTTGCAGATTACATGATAGGCTTTTTTTGAAACCAAATTGCTTATTGGAGAGTAGGTTGTTTGTCTCTAAGTGGAGGATAATGGATTGGTTAATAACTGATTCCATGACTTTACAGGTGACGCAGCATAAGGAGATTGGTCTGTAATTTTCAACTAGGCTGAGGTCTCCCTTTTTGAAGATGTGGATGACCGTCTTGTGACCATAGGTTAGGCAAGGAGCTGGTCCTGAAATATTTTTCAATTATGCTTAGAGGTTCTGCTATGGCAGTGGATAGCTTTTTTAAGAAGTAGGCACATATTTCGTCCGGTCCAATAGATAGAGATGGTTTTAGATTGCGTAGTGCTTTTAGAGATGGTTTTAGATTGCATATAAATAGCTCATTTAAAAAAATCTGAGTTTGTATTAAAGAAAACTCTAGGAGGCCAAATAGGCATTATATTTTATTTTTATTTATTTTATTTGTCAATTACTTACAAGATAATAGGTATAAGTATAAACGTGAGTAAGAATACAGGAAATAGGTACAAATAAATGGGGACAATAGGACAGGGAAGGGAGGCACGATGGTGCACTTATGTACGCCCCTTACAGACCTCTTTGGAATGGGGTGAGGTCAATAGTGGATAGTTTGAGGTTGAAGGAGTGGGGGTGTAACAAGTGTCAGGTAGTCCATTGCAGGTATTGACCACTCTGTTGCTGAAGTTGTACTTTCTGCAATCAAGTTTGGAGCGGTTAAATTTCCGAGTCCCGTGCAAAACGCTGTTCTATATGCCATCGGATTGCTAACAAAATTAGCAACCTTTCACACCTCCCTCCCTTTCTCTCCTTTACAAAACTTGTGTTCGATTTTTTTTAACACGCGTGGGGGAAAAAAATGGCACTGCCTGGCACCGGAAACCGAGTGCTTGACTACATTTTGAGCTTCCGGGGCACGGCGCGTGCGTTTTTCAAGTGCCACACTGAGCCTGCGCGCGGAAAGTCGCGCCCAATGGTTTTGCTGAGGTGGGACGCGGGGAGCTGGAGCGGAAGCGCGGCTGCCATTTTGTATTATTGCAGATCGGTGTTTTCTCGCTTCGGGAGGTCGAAGCGGGGGACGCACCGTAATTTTTGAGAGGGCGAGACGCCCGCAGCCGCTTTCCTGACGGACGCCTGGAGCGATTGGCGCGCCCGAGAGCAGAGGGAAAGAGGCTGCGGCCTTTGCCGCATAATCTGTTGACAGCAAGCGCGCGTTTCTGCTCTTCTTTCCCGCGGAAAATTACGGAGCTGAAGCTCTTTCGAGGCCTCCTTCGACTCCCAGGGGCCTGGTTAGTAAAAATGAAAGGCGAGCGGGTCATTCTTAACGGGTGTGTGTATGTGTGCGTATGTTTGTTGGGGTTGCTGGCTTTCGACGGTAGCGTCTAAAGCCGCACTTTGCATCCCGTGTTCTCGTCGTGCTCTGAACTGAGAGGCCGACTGAGGCCTGCAAGTGGGTAACGGTTAAATAGTAAATGGGTGGCAAAAAGCGTTTGGGCGCTGCCCGGGGGCAGCTCCTGCTGCGGGGACGGTGATGCCGAGGCGTTTGCTGTTCAGTGTTTTGATAAAATATCGAGGCGTTTAAACAATTCGCCGAAAGCGAATGCTTTCCCTGTTTAGGACGGGGATGGAAGGAAAGACTGATTGCTTGGTGTGCTTGGAAATGGTCGCTCTGGTTCTGCGTCGGAAGGTCGTTTCGGGATCGAACACGCTACGGAAGGCCTCGTAGTTCTTGCGTTTTCGTTCGCTGGTTTAAGGGCACTTTTCCTGAGAACATCGGATCGTTCCGAACGTTTTCCCGAGGAAGTGAGTTGGATGATATTAGAAACTGAATGTCTATATAGACGCTGTACAAGATGAAAAAACTCCGGAGTCGCAGCTCGTTTCACCGACTGATTTCCATCAGGATGCGTATTTCTGATCTCAGTCAACCTATCTTTGGAAAGGAATGGGTATTGATAATTGCTAGAGAGAAGACATGCTTTTTCACTCCACCCGGTCTTTTTGCAATGTATTTTTCTACCAGGATTATAATCGCGGAAGTCATGCATCGTATGTCAGAGTTCTACACTCTGCATTCTCTAGGAGGAATAAATCTTTGCCACGACCTTCCTGGGAAAAGAGTTCTTCAACCAGGCACTACTCCACCAGCAGTCATTGAATGGATAGGAATGAATGAGCCTGTTTTAACAGGAATCAGTGCTTGCTTGCTCAAATTCACATATGGATTACACAAGAATAAAATGCAGAGTATATACTTTTAACTGCAGAAACATAAAAAAGCCATTTCATCTGATATTCATTCTCTATATGGAATTGTGTGATATGTACTGGTCCGTAGAGAGTTGGAGGTGTAATTTTTTTTCTTTTTTGCATGTGGTTACACTATTCAGTTGGTTTTTAGGTGTTTTAAAGCTTAAAGGGACAATAGGATCCCATTTTATCTGCTCAAAAATAAGTTGTCCTGAAATACTGAACTCCTTGTTTGATGTTTTTTCTCCTCTTACCAGATTAATGTATATGTGTTTTGGTTTACTTGGCAATCAGGAATTGAAATTTTAATAATGGTTTTACTTCAGTTGGGATTCCTGAAGGCTTTTTCGTTGCCCGGTAGACCTTTTGAAAATAAAGGACAGGCTATAATGCTCTCTTTCTTTGTTGAATCTCTTTGTTTATTTTTCACTTGTCTTTAGGGGAAAAATTGAGCTGCCCAATGTTAGCAACGGTTCTAGCTTAGCTAGCTAGCTAGCATTGCACAAAGCTATAAATTGTGACGTAAGCTTTTTGAACAAGTTGTTGTTCATGTCCCTAGATTAGTTGCCTAGATTGTTTTCAGTGAAATATAGAAACTATATGGATTGGACCTTACAAATTATATAAGGTCTTTAAAAAGAAAGGTGGATGTGCCATACATTTGTAGGATTTGGAAAAAGTTTGATTCTAAGCATAGTGACAGATATGAATGTTCAGTATATTTTATAGTTGCATATAGTCTTAAAACTTTTTTGCACATCAGATATCTGATTTGGGTTCTGGTATCAAAGACCTATTATAATATCAAATACATGGAAGGAAATATGTTCAATTTAATATTCTAAAGAATATTAAATTGAACATATTTCCTTCCATGTATTTGATATTGTAATAGGTCTTTGATACTGAAACTGCAGTACTGTGTACATTTGTAAATGGACTTTGATAAGCTTAGTGGGACCTTATGTCTCTAAGTATATAGGTTTATATTGTAGTTTTTCTGTTTCCTTTTTCTGGAACTGGTGAAATATGGATATTACAAGTGCTGTATAAATCTATTGCTACATATGGACATTACATGTGTATTTCTATCTTTGCAAGGTACTTATCTTCTAAATTCAAAGTTATTCTAACATACTGGATTCCTCTGGATTCGTATAGGCACAGAAAATATTATGGGGAAATTGGTATATCATCAATATGTTTTCCTGGAATTTCTGAAGTTGGGTATGTTTCATTAATTTGGTCACTTATTCAATTTTTGATGAACTTTCCGCTATGTTTTTTAAAAGAAAAAGCATGTTAGAAGAAATGGACACTTATCATTTTTATGTGGAACTTTCAAGGACTGAGGACATTGAGGAAAAGGATATTTTTAAATCAGATTTTTTTTACCTCTCAAGATTTTGAAGATCAATCTCATATCTCTGGCATCAGTTTAAGTAGAGAGCATAATGAACCTCTCAAAACATGTGAAAAACAAGATATACATATGAAATTCACAAATCCTATTTTTTTGGTACATCTCTGCAATACAAAAGGAACAGAGCAACTTATTTTTTATTTCTTACTGGGTGGTTAATGTACACCATGGTTCTGGATATGCCACTGAATGTGGCATAAAATGTAAATCTGCTTCTTGGCCATTAATTTTGTTTCATTTTCTTTCCACAGTTGATTTCACAGCCTTAATCAGGCCTTCCAAGAAGAACCAGGTAAGCTTCTGAAAGCTTGATGTTTGTATTGTCAGATTTGATGGCTTTTTTTTCCCAAGCTGATGACTGCAAAGGAAGATGTGCAGTTGGCTGTCTAATCATAGGAAAGAATAAACATGGAGTAAAAGATTACTGAATTTAATTCTTTATGAGATGAGCCGGCCTGACAGAAAATGCTTAAACTTCATTATTGCTTGGAAGTGATATGACATCTTTTTGATCAAAGTAATTCAGGATGTCAGATAATGGAAAACTTTTCTTTTACTGGATTTTATAAGAAGCTGTGAAGCTTTCATCATAGATTTTATGAATGACATTGGTGCTTTTATGATTGGTAATATTATTGTGAACTGTACACTTATTTAGACTGGCCGGTATTTATAAACATTCAGATTAAATTAGGTTGTATGATTTGAAATGTAGGCATTCTTTCAATAATGGCAGAATTTTTGTTTTAAGTGGTGTAGGATAGGCCTAGCGTTCTTCCAATATACTAAAGGCTTGTTATGTATGCCTTTTTGTCCACAGGTGATTATTGCTGTGGGTTGAGCTCAAAATGGCTGTAGTCATCCGTTTACAGGGACTTCCTCTTGTTGCGGGTTCTGGAGATATTCGTCGCTTCTTCTCAGGATTGAATATTCCTGATGGAGGTGTACATATTATTGGAGGAGAAAAGGGGGAAGCTTTTATTATATTTGCAACGGATGAAGATGCCAGACGAGCAATGAGCTATTCAGGAGGATTTATCAAGGATTCACGTATACAGTTCTTTCTTAGTAGCAAGGCAGAAATGCAGAGCATAATCGAAATTAATAGGAAAAAATTTGATCGTGGTGGAAGAGGACGAGGATCTAGGCGGACAGGTCCTAATAATTCAGGAACATCTGATGTTGGCAACCTTTCAAATATAGTTCAAGTCATTAAAAAGGGAATTGGTAAATCTAGCCATGATTCCAGAGTTCCTTTGGAGGATGAGTTTCATTCTAGTGGCTCTCGAAACAGTAATATAAATATTTCAGAATCAATTTTTAACCAGCCTAGAAAAGAAATGTCTAAATCTGATAGATTATATTTATTCATACGTGGTATGCCTTATTCTTCAACAGAAGACGATGTGTTCAATTTCTTTTCTGGATTACAAGTGGAGAAGGTACTTATGTTAAAAACCAATGGTCAAATAAATGGAGATGGTTTGGTCAAATTTGCTACATTAAGTGATGCCATGAAAGGACTGCAACGGGATAGGAATTATATGGGTGAACGGTTTATAGAAGTACGTCCCTCCAGTGAGGGAACATGGATTAAGTATGGTGGTAGAATAGATGAGAAGATAAATGATGCTTTCCACTTTCAACATAATTTGAATACAGGACATAGTTTTTCAAACACAGAACATCCAAAAAAAGAGCCAAGCTATTTGTCTTCAAGGAAACGTACCCGATCCAAAACTCCACCACGTAGAGTAGTATCACAGGTTAATTCAAGGTCTCCTTCATGGAGGATTACAGAACGCAGCTATTCAAAATCTCCTTCACAAAGGGTTGTGGCACATGCATTTTCAAGATCTCCTCCAAGGGATATGGCACACACTGGTTCAAGATCTCCACGGAGGGTCATGGCACGTAATGGTTCAAAGTCACCACCACGGAGGGTCATGGAACCTATCCATTCACATTCTCCAAGGAGGATCACAGCAAGTACCCATTCAAGGTCTCCAAGGAAGGTTAAAACCCACTCTCATTCACCTTTCTCTGCTCCAAACCAACCCCATTCACCCCAGAGCAAGGAATATTACATACATCTTAAAAATCTGTCTGCTGCTATTGAAAAGAAGGACTTGCGGGCATTTTTTGAGGAGCTAACTTTAGCGAACAAAGACATTACTTTTCTAAAATCTCATGATAATGAGGCAAGAAACAAGGATGCAGTTATTACACTCAGATCAGAAGAAGCATATACAGCAGCACTGAGTTATCACAAGCTTGATCTTTTTGGACGACTAGTTTACATTTTCCCTGTTTCAAAAAGAAGAGTGCAAGAATTAATTGGATCTTCTGAAGTTAAAAGATCACCAGGACATCGCCACGTAAAGGATAAAAATAATCAAGATGGCTACTTTGGCTCAAAGACATGTGTATATGTAAGAAATTTTCCATTTGATGTGACAAAAGTTGAAGTACAAAAATTCTTTGCAGGATTTAACATTGATGACAATGACATTTATTTGCTTTATGATGACAAAGGAGTTGGACTGGGAGAAGCACTAGTTAAATTCAGAACAGAAAATCAGGCCCGAAAAGCTGAAAGCTTAAATCGCCGGTGCTTTTTGGGGACAGAGGTACTCTTAAGATGTATACCCGAGGAGCAAATGCAAGAGTTTGGTATTAATATTTCATCAGCATCTAATGAAAAGATGCAAGGGTATCACCATAGTCGTGAAAGAGATGAAAACTTTTATTCTGTTGATTCAGAAGGACCCTCTGTGCAAGAAGGTGACTATGGATGCCTGTCTGATGATTTTATCTGCTCATCTGAGAGAGGTCCTCCCCAATTTAAAGAATTTGGTGATGGTATTCCTGGAAATTTTTCCGATAGACGCTTTGTGCCCGATTCTAACTTTGGTGGTGGCTCAGATTCTGTAACATTCATCAAATTAAGAAATATACCATTTCGAGCTTCTCCTAATGAAATTCTGGATTTTTTCCATGGCTATAAAATTATACCAGAATCTCTTTCTGTTCAGCACAATGAATATGGAATGTTTTCTGGTGAAGCAATCATTGCTCTAATAAATTACAAAGAGGCAGAGGCTGCTATTAATGAACTAAACGAAAGGCCAATTGGCCAGCGCAAAGTTAGATTAACTTTGGTATAGGTGAAAATGAGGTAGAATAAATATACAGTATTATTTCATTATAATTCACAATTTTTTACTTGGAAAATAAACCATTAAGTTTAATTTTAAAATTGCAACATTTTTAATTGCTTTTTTAAAAAAATGGATCAACCTCATAGTTCTGCCAAGTTATCTTTAAAATATGCATAGCTGAATTACAACATTTGACATGTACTTCATCCGTCTGCTGCATGTATATTTGCAGTTTATCTAAATATGGTTTGATGTAAAACATTGTATTTTCAGAGTTGTTCAAAAGCATAGGTTGTGTCACCCTTGTATATATTAAATCCATAGGATTCTTGTCCATTGTTAATTTTCAGTGATAGCTTAAATGGTTTTGTTATTGTCAGTTAGACTTTCTTTTAAAATAAAAGTACATGCACTGAAGTATGTGGACGAGTCATTGATGCATTTTTTATTCATAGCAGTAATATAAAACTTACTAGAATTGCAAGATATTTGGCATATGTGAACATAAGTAATGATTTTATAAATTTTTATAGGAACAGGTACAATTTAAAATATTGTATAGGCTAAATAATGCAGCCTACTGTGATATCTGTATACCCCTACAATTTTGTTTCATGCTTAGATTTTCTATTAATTTGGCAATAGTATTATCCTTGGGTAGAAAAAGCCTTAATACATTCTTTTAAATGTTTTAGGGTTAGGGTTAAAAAGGAAATGACAGCTAAAAAGTATCCAGTATTTAAAACAACTTCAGAAACATTTTCAAGTTGATCTACATGCATTATAAGGACATTTTTACTTGGGTACTTGTAGCTGCAGCATCATTTTAACATGATTACTTTGGCTTTGTATGCATTAGGCAAATCTTTCTCAACTGTTTGTCTTCCAAATATACTGGACTACAATTCTCTTCAAATTTAGTCTATTTGGCTTGGGAATTAAACATAATCTGGAGGGTATCAATCAGATTGTGAAAGGCAATGTTGAATACTTACATATGGGATGTCAGGATGACACTCCTCAATCAAATCTTATTTCATATACCACTGAGTAATTAAATTTTTCTCTTAAAGATAGTGTTTGACATGGATAAAAGTCAACATATCTTCGTGGTATTTATTACTTTAATTAGCTGAGCTACAGAAATAATTTTCAAGTATGACTAGTAAAGAAAACTGCTTTTTTTGAGTATGGTTATGTAGTTTATCATATATTGATTTGCAAGGTCAATCATTGTATTCCAGGATAATATCTTGGCATTATTGTACAGTGTAAATTGATCTTTAGTTACTGAAGTAAAGAGATTATGGTTCAGTTTTAGATTTTTGCACATCTGCATTTTAATTAGTTGATGGAAGTTAAATGCTTATTCTCTTTGGTTTCAAACTTAGCGTTTTGTATAGTTTAAAAACGTGCTATGGACTTCAGTTTCAGAATCACTAAGACCAGATATAAATACTTAATGTGAGAAGCATTTTTTATTTCTAAAAATATAACCTACAATAGAATGGATGTTAGAATGTCGCTGATACATAATTAAAGCATTAATTCTGATTATAAAATAAAAAATCCCATTTTTCTTCTAAAGTCACGTGTGAATTTTGACTAAAAACTTAAAGCTGTACCATAAAATGCTGAAAGGTAAATATTTAATACTGACTCACACTTCTGTTGCAAATCAAATATAATTCAGTTAAACACCAAAGACTAGATTCTGGGGAATTCTAATTCTGAATCTGGCTAAGGATGGGCAGAGAAAATTATATTCAAGCTTCACTGACAGTTCTCGTTACATGGCATGCTGGAAGATAGGACTGGAAGTAATGATCAAGATCTTTCTGACATAACTTGTTCTCAGCTTACAACCATTTGTTTAGTGACTGTTCAAGGTTTAACTGTGCTAAAAAGTGACATGACTAGTTTTCATTGCAGCATCCCCATTGACACATGGTCAAATTTGTGCACTTGGCATGTATTTATGATAGTTACACTGACCCGGGATAATGTAATCACCATTTATAACCTTTCCAGCCAGCTCCCAACAAAGTCAGTGGAGGAAGCCAGGTTTGCTTAATGATTGGATGCAACAACTGTGGAAAAAAATAAAGAGACAGAACTTAATAATTGTCTTGTTTACCAACAGAATTTTGGGCTCAATTGTAGTTATAAGTTGAGAGCTATCTCTACTTTTTTAGAATTATAGCACTGTGTACAGGTCAAAGCAAATTTAGGTATTCTGACAGTGGATGGATTCTATAATACATCAAATAAATTTCTGAAGGTCACTTTTATTTGGTTACAAGGGATGGCTGCTTATATTGTTTTAATAAATATGAACATACACATCATTCCCGTTAGTAGATAATCAATGGGAATATCTTTTGAAAAGCAAAGAACCCAGGAAAGTTGGTGAATCCTTTCAGGTTATTGTCATAATTGACACCACTTTTTATCTCATTTTAGCAACTTTTTATACATATATGAGATCATAAGGAGGTCAAAAAGCCCCTTAATGCATTTTTGTGGTAATTTTAATGGCTGACCTTACGGTGTCTTAACATGAAATGTAAATACAATAAGTATTTTTAATCTGAGGAATGTTTTGTTGTAGCAAAAGCTATCTTTCCTCCTTGGTGGTTTCTAATTCTTCATCTTCCTCCTCTTCTTCCTCCTCTTCCTTAAGGCGATTCCTAGCAATCTGCTACCAAAGAACATAAGTTGTTTGAGAACCAACTGAAAAGCATTCATTGGAGAAAGAAAAACATTTTTGTAAAGTATTTTTTGTATGTAAGGATTCATTGTTCTCAGACTATCCTACACACCAACTATCCTTTTGAGTTACATTTTAATGGCTTCCAAATGGAAGTATTTTCAGACACATTTTCTAAAATGAACAAATACATATAAGATGCAAAAATATATTGGCACATATGTTTTTAAATTTAAAAATATGCTTTTCATCAAAAACATGTATTGTATTTTATATGCAGCTGAATTACAAATGCTAGCCTCAGTATTTGAAAATGGTACTAAAAAGCCCCTTAAAACAAGTTCCACTATTCTAAGATTTTCATAAATGTTTTACACATCTGAGCATGTGTATTCGCTGTTAGATATAAAATGTTTTATAAATTCATTTTTAACTTTACTGAAGTGGCAAGTAAAGTGAGCATTGAAACAATTTGATATCCAAAGGCTATATTAAAACATTTGCAGCACTTAATAATAAAAACATTCAAAATATTTTTCTACCTGAACTATTCCAGTACAAGTTCTGGAAGAACCAGTTCTTTCAAGGGGAGATTTAGAATTTGCACGAACAATATCCAATCGGGTTTGATGTTCTGGTGGATAAAGTGAACTCCGAAACACCTGTTAATAAAACTTAATGTTGATAGTGAGATTTGGAATGCATGCAACTATTCTGAGGCACACTATTTCTCAGGAAGTTATGATTACCTAAGTACTATGCTGACTTAAGTGATAGAAACATCACTTCGACGCATAATTTCTTGGAATACTCCCAGTAACATTTTTATCTGAACAGTGGTATAAATCATAGTAAGGATTTTAGGATGCATTGTTAATGGCTGCAAAGAGAGTAAGTTAATATCACCTCATCTCTTCTGAAAATATAAATGTTACCAGAGATGAACATCAATCCAAAATCTGGATATTGGTTAATATGTGCAGGTGAAGCAGGTGAGCTTGTATAATTGAAGTTTCCTTTTCTCTTCAGTACTGAAGAGAAAAGCTAGAAATCTATTTTTAGAAAGTCATTTGGTTTTAAATTATTAAAAGGAATTAAAGAAGCTTGGGCTGAATTTATGTTGCGTGTGCCTGGTTTGTTATATCCCAATTTCTAGAAGCAGAAGAATTTTTGCAAATTAGGTTAAAAAGGCTTATTTACTTTTGCCTTCCATGTTGCAAAAAATCTTTTGAAGTACTAGCAGCTGGCTAACACTTAAATCAGCAAAAATTATTTCAACACATTCCTTCTCATACAATTTAGGGAAGCACATTACACTTTTAAAGTTAAAATTAGGAAGAGACAGTAAGTATAAATCTCCCTCTTATCCATTACTTCCTACCACTAAATCTACTTTGAATAAGATAAATTTAATAAATTGCATCTCTTATTTATGGAAGAATGAACAAGAATGGGAAACCTTTCTGTTGCTTATTCAATCTAATTTTTTGTTTGCTTTCAAATATATACAGACTAGAACTATTCCTTAATTGAGATTTTTGTTTATGCTGAATAGAAGCATATACATTTTTAAATACATTCCATTATCCAATAAAATATTATTTAAAGAAATTATTTTGGAACAGCTAACTTTTAAAACTAATATGCTACAAAACCAACTGACTACAGCTTTATCAAAGATGCATTTGGTCTCTTACCTCCAAATCTTCATTCTCATCAATATTTTGTATATTTTGGAATGCAGCAGTATAAATTTCTAAGGCTTTTCCATGAAATAACATTTCAATTGTAATGAATTCTGAAAGTATGTTCTAAAAATAAAGGGTAGGATATTATATATACCTTTATCTCTTGACAGGTGTGGCAATAATTGAACTGCCACTATAAAAACTAGAAAATTTCACTATGCTTGAAAAAAAAAAGTTCAATTTACTGTTTGTAATAGTTTTTGTGTAATTGGTATAGGCTGACTTAGTATCTGCCTAGAAGAAATCAGTGCAGCCACATTTTATTCCTGACCAGTTGACTAGTATATTTGTTCTTTCCTGACTTCAACTGGGAAAAGTTCTACACTTTCTTGTTTGAAGGTTTCTTATATGAAATGTAACAGCATGGACCATCTGAGCATTGTTTTTTTCCACTCATCTTAGTACCTAGCTCAGTCCTAAGTTCCAATTTCATTTATTTATTAAAGAAACTGTCTATTCCTTAGAATTAATACATTTTAATGTTTATTCAAATACTAATTGACTACAATTCTGTAATTTTAGTATGATCAATTTCAGTAATAAATCTGAGCAGTGTTTTTCATAAATGAGATATTTTAACAAAAGCAGCAATTTACCTGGGCGCAATTGTCTCTGACATGCACTATGAGTGTTTAAAAACTGCCACTTTGAATTATTTAGTGAACAACATTTGAATTCTGTTGCTAAATTTGAACATGCCAATTTTAAAAATAAAACCAGGAATTATATCCTTTCTAGGGTCCTCACATGAAGGCTAACAAACTTGGGTCACTCATTTTCAAGTTCATTAAATGTGTGGAGAGATTTGTTCCCATTTCAGAAAGAGTCTGCTTAACCCCACTATCTGTATCGTTTTGTACTAGAACTACATACCTACCTTAATATCTTTTATTTTTTGTTTTTCAAAATTGTCAATTGTTTCCTCCAACTGCCGACTTGTTCTAGTTGCATCCAGAGACGCTCGCTGTAATTCACTTTCAGCCTTAAAAAATAAAATGATTTTTTTCCTACAACAGATGTTTTCCAATGTTCTATTTAAAAATTATTACATAAACCTCCTGAGAAAGCATACTGCTGTATCTATAGTCCCTAGATAGGATACTCTAAATAAATCATGTATTTTCCCACAATTTGGAAAGTGCTACAAAGCTTATAGAAAATACAACTTGAAAAATGTTTCATTGGTGTTTTAGATATGGTAAGTGTGAAAGATGCTGCAGACAGCAGTGATTGCAAAAATCTATCTAGTGGACCCACACTAGTATATTGTCACATATATTCAGAACTAGCACAATTGGAAAGGTGGTGAATATCTAGCTCGGATGTAGGATGAGCCTGATAAATGTTTGGAAACCAACCCACAAGCTTGGAGAATGAACCTTCACCCTCACAATTAGAAAAGCTTGATTTCTTAGATTACATATGTTCTATCATTAAACAGTCAAACTGATCTAGGAACAGTCTTTTTAAAACAGTAATCTTTTTAGCTCTTTTCTGAGCATTAAAAATACCCATTAACTGTAAGTCCCTACTGGAAGTGGGGCTCAGTGTTTTTCCCATGGACCTGCTGTAGCTTTAGGATCCTTAGGAAAATGTTTCTAAAGATTTCTAAGATGTAGATGGGAAAATGTTTCCATTTTTCTCACCTGTAACTTAGAACTATTTACTGGAAACATTTGCAATACATTTTCTGATAAAGCACTATTCTTTCAATCTTTCATTCCTAACACTTCATTTAAAGATTTTATGGACATTAAGCTGATTTGCTGTAGTTTTTAACTTTAGGAGTAATATCTTTCTTAGTATTTTGAGTTTATTTAATGTTTAATTATTTTTATTTATACTACAGATACCCCATCTTTATATCCTTAGGAAAGAAAATAATAAAAAATAAAAGTTAAAATACCACCAGAACATTTAAATCTAGATTGTGCCCATGCGAAGAATGAGCCACTGGAACTGACATCATAAGCTGTTTACTCCTAACCCTGGTCATCCTAATCAGTTTTATTTACAAATATTACATTAGGACGTAAATAATTATATTTTTTTAAATATGACCAAATTGTAATAGGATCTACAGCAGTTTGGATCTCTTGTGTATGTAATTAAATTAGCTATGCAATGTTTTATGCCAATACTAGTCATTTTAATTTTAAAAAATCAATTTAGCCAGCTAATTTACGAATTTTAATTATGTATATTAGTCAGAAAACATGCGATCAAACACTCTTGCCTTCTAAAGAAAGAGATCTTTAACCCCTCTATGTGAAAGTATAGAGGAGCAAAAAATTAAGCGTCTGTTCTGCTGAGACTGAATAGTAGAACTGGAGACGGTGGCCCGGAAGGGGTGTGTCTTCAATTTTTCAATTCAGTCTACAGCCAAACAGCTGAATACATCCCATGCATGGATCCTGACAAAACCATTCTGGAGAATCTACTACTACTGATGTTAGTATATGTAGGTATATATAACTTATTTTTATCTTATTGGTGGAACAATTATAAATATGAAAAAGCATAATTATAAAAACAATAGAAGACTCACCTGTGACTGAAGGTGTTAATAAAGGAATATGTCCTAAATTATAGAAAATAACCAGCAGTATTTCTGATATTTAAACAATTCTTTCTGTATAACAACTCCTAGTTTATCAGACAGAAATTATTGATGGCTTTTGGTTTTTTAGTAAATCTTGAAACTAACAAATTAGGGAGCAAAGAAAGAATCCCTTAAGAAGGTAATTACTTTTAATTGCTGGATAATCAATGTAGCTGCTTGTCAACTAAGGAATTTTAGGAAAACATTTTACATTCTAAGAAATTGTATTTACATGTACCAATCTTTTTCAACAGTTTAACTATTGCACATAAAGTTTTAAATAAGTATGTGTGCAAAGGATACAATAATGTGTCGATCAGATGGATTTCGTTGACGGGTCCTCTCCAGTTGAGATAACTGTTTTGCTTCTCTGTTCTTTGCTGTTAAAGTTGCTTTGAGATCCTCCTGCAAACATATTTTAGGCATTTCAAAAACTATATTTTTTAAAAAAGAGGTTTCTAATTTAAATTTTTATGGAATTCTAAAGCATTTGTTTAGGCTATTGATTAAATGATAACGAGAGGTTGAGGCTATTGCTTTAAGATATAGATATATTTTCCCAATTTGTTAGAATTGCTTTAGGATGGACTAGGTAAGTTTTGCTTTTCCAGCATCTTGTTTTCCAAGGTCTTGGGCAACAGATGAGGAAAACAGCCATTTATCATAACTGGATCTTCAGCTACTGCTATCTAGAGCAGGGGTGAACAATTTTTCCAAGGAGCCACATGAGAAACTGGGACTGTTATGGAGGGCCACCCCCCGCCCCATGTTGCCAGCACTTTGCCTCCCTGCTGCCAATGACCAGACAGGGACAACCAAAGGGGCTAGCTGTGGCCTATGGGCCATAAAATGCCTAGTCTGATTTAGAGGCCTATTGCTTCTGATCTGGAAAGTACTAACACATGAATTTCATGTGAGATTATCCCACTTTAAGGTAACTGAAATTGAATAGCTGCTGCAATTTATAGGAACAAATTTTGTAAGAAAGCATTTACTGAACTTATTCCACCCAGGTCTTGATTTAATAAGACAAAATATGAATAAGCCTTTTTACTCATGAATGCAGCTCCAACCCCCTCTTTGTTATGCAATCAAACTAGCAAGTCTATGTAATCTATTTTTCCAAGATTCCTATACAACGGTATATAACAGAAAATACTGAAATATTAAATCTTTTTTGATTTAATATTCAGTATATATGTAGGTTTGGATGAACAAATATGCATGCTTCCTGTGTTAAATGTATTTCTATGTAAATATAAGCTTTTGAATTTCAAGGTTTTCCTGTATATTGTCAGTTTTCAATATCCAAACATAGAGAATTTTAATTACATGGCCTTTTATAGATTTTAGGATTTGATTATTTGAATTAAGAAAGACTAGAAACACCAGGTTCTCAGAGAAGTACAGGTAGGCCTCGGTTTACAACTGTTCATTTAATGACCCATCAGTTACTACACTGAAAAAAGTATCTTACAACCATTTTTCACACTTATGACCATTACAGGATCCCCATGGTCACGATCAAAATTCTGACACTTGGCAAATGACTCATATTTGTAATAGTTGCAGTATCCCAGAGTCATGTTACCATTTTTTGTGACCTAACAAGCGAAGTCAATGGGGGAAAGCCAGATTCACTTAACAGCCATGTCATTATTTAACTGTGGCAAGAAAGGTCATAAAATGGGGCAAAATTCACTTAACAAATGTCTCACTAAACAACAGAAATTTTGGGCTCAATTGTGATCGTAAGTTGAGGACTACCTGTACCTTAAACATGAAAAAGTCTGTCACATACTCTCTTAAGTTTTATGATGGTCCCATAACATTTCAGAGGTTCAACAACTTTAGCTTCAAGTCTTTCTACCTATAAAAAGAGGGCATGATGAATCATTCTAGAATTTTTCATTGCATAAATTCCCATTACTTTCAGTGAATCTGAAATATAGAAAACAATCAAGAAGGAAATAGAGGAAAAAATCTTTGTTCTGAAATTAATATTTAATAAATATTTATTAGCATACTCATCATTTAGTTTAAAATACAATTATTAATTTTCTAGTCATCTTTTAAAGTGAAAGATTACATTCAAACACAACTTAAAGCCTTACTAGAGTATCTTCTTAATATACACAAAGCCTTACTACGGTATTTTCTTAATATACTAAAAAAGGATTTTAATTCTCTCTGAAAATTTATTCTGGAATGAAATCAGGGACTACATCAGAAATTCCCAAAAGATTGAAAGTTCTGTTTATGGGTAAGTTACACTGTGTGGTATTAGATTCCAATGGCCCTAATTGTAATTCATTTATTATGGTCATAACATGCAAACTCTCGAAATTTGAGTACTGACATAAGAAAACGCATGAAAGTAAATTTATACCTCTGCCTGGCGATAATCCTGAAGCTTGGAAAACTCATCTGCAAAATTTTTCAATCCAAGCTTTAAATTTGGTGTTTCTGTAGCTGCATAAGCATGTATCTCATTTACTAAAAGGTCTGCTTTGTCTCGTAGCCTGGCAGTTTTTCGTACATATGCTGCAAATATTTGGCACAATTCACCAAAATGTTTTTCCACATTTGAAACAGCTTCCCGTATTTGCCTGGTCTGGTTATCCCTATTTTAAAAAGAAGAGTTAAGTTAATAAAGGCAAAGGACAGTGTTCAGAATTATAAACACATCCAACAATACCAGCAAGCTTTCAACAGATTATTGGGGGAAGCAACATTTGTTAGACCCAAGCGTCCATTAAATCTGAATAGAAAATTGAACCTATATAGATAAATCTTGACTTATGATCACCTTAGGTGACTAGATGGGAAATAAGACTCAGCCTACAGACTGCAATTGCCCTCTGTATGCCAGTCACTTCTGCTGACTGACCTGCTTCCCACTGCCCTTTGGGATTCTCCAGGCTTCAACTGGCTCCCAAACAGGCTATTCAGCAGGTAAGGGAGCTTAAAGCTGGTTAGCAGAACAGTATTTCTTGTGAGACTTTTTAAAAAAACGAGGTTCTGTTTGTGGAGCTTCCTTAAAAATCAACCACCTACACTTTTGCTAGAAACACCATTTGCTGGAATAGATAGAATATAGGCTATGGAATTATATACTACATTTTCCTATCCTTCCCAAAAGTATTTTAAGACAGGATTCGGCAATAGGCCTGGTGTTTATGTGTTTATGCAGGCCCTGGTTTGGTTTAGTTTATTGATTTAATCTGGACTGACTGTGAGGCGTTTTTAACTCTTTTTATTGTTTTGTATCTATAAGCTGCCCTAGGTGGAGGAGAGTTTCTGGCTATAATAAATGCAAATAAGTTATACCTACATGAAAGCAACTGCTCTTAGGAAAAGCAACTCATTTGTCGAACATGTCATACAGAATACATAATACTTCTCTGCAGCAGGCAGGTATATATAAAAGGCAAAGGACACAATCCCCTTTGCTTATCACATTGTTTTGCTAAGGAAAACCTAACGACCATATGTGACCAGTTTACTGAGGTCCTGTCCTAAAGGCAAACGACTCATCTCGCAATGTATGGGAAGGGCAGAGCAAGGCGGCTTTCAGTTCACTGGTCAAAAATCGACCGCAACGGCTTTTGTGCCCAGGGAAAGAAGCCGTGGAGCTCGAATGGGGGGACGCGGCTGCTTCCCTCACCGGGCGTGGCCCAGAAGGCGAGTCCCCGAGCGCGCTGCCACGCCCGAGATGGACCCGGTGGGGAGGGGGCTGGGAAAGAAGGAGCGAGCGCTATCTCTGAGGGCCTCAGGCGCCTCATTCCTTTTCGTTCAGGATCAGAGCGAGGATGCCGAGACAGTCTCCAGCGTTTCCCGCCAAAATCCCAAGTCAGGGATGGGGAACTATGGCCCTTTTAGGACTTGTGGACTTCAACTCCCAGAAGCCCTGAGCCACCATGTCCTGGCTCAGGAATTCTGGGAGTTGAAGTCCACAAGTCCTAAAAGGGCCATAGTTCCCCATCCCTGTCCTAAAGCATGCGCTGGACTACCGTTTCCATATGCCCTGATCAAGATGAGGACGGGTGCTTTTAAGTTGACAGGCCTTTTCTTCCGGAAGCCAAACCCAAACCTTCCTCTTCTTCAACGGGACGGATCGGCCTTCGCCGTACCCGGACAACGCTTCCCTCCATTCCGGGGCGAGCACCCCCCCCCCCCGCGCCAGGGAGCGTGGCACCCGAGCGGGCTCCTCCAGATCGGAAGCCTCTCTTGCCCCTCCGCGACCCGTTACCTGGCGTCCAGCCCCCTGCCCAGCATCAACATGGCGATCGCGACCGGCCGCGGCTCCAGCAGACGGTTGAGAGAAAGTGGATGGGGTGCGCATGCGCTTCGCTTCTCTCCGGTTGCCCTGGAAGCCAAGCACCGCCCACCGGCGGCTGATGCGATGCTGCTCTTTGCTTTTCCAAAGAATGGGAGATTGGAGGCGTTCGAGCCATCCATGTCGCTCCTTGATGAAATGTTATTTGCATTTCTGGATAACCCATCTCCGATGCACTAAATCAGCGGTTCCCTAGGTGGCAGTAAAATGATAGAAAAACTCTTTACTTCCCTCTGATCCCTCTGATCTCTCTCTCTCTCTCTCTTTGCAGCTTAGATATGGCAGCCTTATATTTTGGGGTTTTCCCAGGGAAACCTGGTGGGGAGTCCAGCCTCATTTCCCCTGTCAATTCAAACTCCCTCATACTGTGGGAAAATGGAGAAAAATGCCATTTATTTTCAACTTCTGCAGGAATGACTGCTTCCTAGTAAACGTGTGAATGAAGGAATGGCAAAGGAGGCCATGATAAAGGTAGCCAAGGTTTTTGCTAGGTATGATATTCGGTGACTTATATGACCAGTAATTTAACTGTTTGCAGTCACAGTGGCCTTAGAATGGGTGCTTTACCAACACTTCCAGTTATTGTAAAATATTGCGCCACCTTGGTCATATGCCTGCATTTCTGGCGCTTGTCAGCCTGTAGTTACAACCCATTGCAAAGTGCCTTACAATTGTGATTTCCGCTTGCAAACTGCTGGCTTCCTCAGAAAATCAGTTCAGTGGGAAAGGTGATGAGAGGAGGGGATGTTGGATTTTAAGGGCTGTTTCCCCAGCAGGCTGAGGGATTACTCCTCTCCTTACAGAGAGGGAAATTCTATGAAAAGAGCTGTGGTGGAGCAGTGCTTACAATGCAGTATTGCAGGCTAATTTTGCCAACAGCCAGCAATTCAATTCTTACTGGCTCAAGGTTGACTCAGCCTTTCATCTGTGATGACCCAGAGTATATCAGAAATATAACAAAACCCAAAACGTAACTAAAAGTCCTTTAATGCTTTCAACTTGGCTTCACTGTTTAATTGTTCACAGTGGAGGAGTAAACTATTTTCAAAATAACATTTCAAAGGAAAGAAACACAGTTCAAATTCAAAGAGACGATAACAAAGCAAAAACCAAAAACAAACCACACTGAATAAAGTTCCACGAGAGATCAGGATAGATAATTGCCAACTTCAGGAAGATAACCAGGTACAGTCCATTGGAGGAACGCCAACCAAGACAAACCTTTAGGAATAAAACACTAATTTGTCTCCAGTGTCTGTTAGCAGGCAGGACCAAACTCTTATGCAAATCTCACACCTGCAACCCATGAAGAGGATCATGGCCCTTTCCTCCTGAGTAGACCACATTTTACCCTGATCATCTCCTCCCTGCATGCCCTAGGATGGATAGGGGATGGGCCTAGGTCCTCCTCTGACTGCTCAGTCGGCCTCTGCCCTTCCCCAGCCTCCTCCACAACCTCTGGAGCCACCCACTCCCTGTTGGCTGTTCCTCCTCTTCCTCAGAGTCAGTCTTCACCAGGGGCATGACATCATCCTTCCAAGGTCGGTAAAATGAGGATCCAGATTGTTGAGGTCAATATGCTGAAAAGCGCTTAGAGAGGACTGTAAAGCACTATGAAGCGGTATATAAGTCTAAATGCTATTGCTGTGCAGGGAGGAATGGACCTCAAATCTGGTACAAATGCTAGGGAATGCCAGCATTCTGAACTAGTGTTTTCCCTTCCCATCCAGAAGGATGGAAGGGGAGTAGAAATTGGTAGTGAATGCCAATCTTCTGAGCCTTTCTGATCATTCTGAGCCTTTTTCTGGAAGAGAGGAGAAAAATCCCTCAATGTACTGGAAGAAGGGACCTCAAAACTGGCAAAAATGCTAGCAAATGTCAGTATTCTTGTGGTTATTCTTTCTAGCGGTCTCGATGACCATAACTGGGAGCGCCACGATTACAGTTGTTGAGGGAAGTGTCATGTGGGATCTTGCTTCATGACCACTTTCCTCTACAAGCAAGATTCTGGCCCCAACTATGGTTGTAAGTGGAGGATTACATGTATTAGAAACAAGATGTGGAACTACAAGAACAGGCTGCTGTGTTCTACCAGTCTCTTGGGACCCTATGGAGGCATGAATGCAAGAGTGAGGAACAAACATCCCTTGAACGTAGCTGGCTGGCTGAAGGTTTGAGGGAGATAGTTGGTTCATAAATGTGAAATATAAATTAAACAAACATGGATGGGATGGTAGTTGTTAGGAATCTGTCCACCGATTAGTTGGGTTGGCAATATATAAACCAACAATGTATGTTTCTAGCTTTAAGACAAAATCACTGTATTGATTTATACTATATTCAGATTGGTTGATTATATTGCAAATTACCATAAGAGGGAGCTAGAGATCATAGCTTGTTCTCTGACATTCTGTCTCTCTGACATTCTGTTGCTATCTAAGGTTCTCTGTTGTATTTATGCTGTGCTTATACTTCGATATTTTTGTTTACTGTAAATGACAAAGGCAACCGGTAAGAAGACTTTGTAATTGGATATTCTTTGGACTGTTAAACGAATATGACTTGGACCATTTATTGGACTGTGCTATTTCTTAAAGTAAATTTTAACTCAATTTAGTGTATCTGTGTGTGGCTGAATAATTATTCATAACTACTCTTATAAACATTTCCATGTGCATATCCTTGTTACTCAAGGGTTATTCTGTACCTATCTTAACAGTAGTACAACATTTTGTGATGGCCAGTAGTCCTCTGTGGACCACAGAGTACTGTTTCTGAAGCCATTGTAATTCTAGACTGCTGTTAAACAAACAGCTGTAAGTCAAGAAGTGCCTGTAATGGTAAAGGCACCGGGCTAGAAAAAAGGAGATTATGAGTTCTACTCCAGCTGTAGGCATGAGCTTGGGTGGGTGCTCTTGGGCCAGCTATGTATTCTTGCTCCTCCCTAGGAAGGAGGCAGTCAGCTCTGTCATCTTGCCAGGAAAACTACAGAGACTAGATTGGGCAGTTGCCAGAAATCAACACTGACTTGAAGACACTCCCCCACCCCACTCCAAAATAACCCTTAAAGCCCACTATGAGTGGTATACAATTAAAACCAGTACAATACCTAAAAATGACCATCTCAAAGAGCATCACCCAATGGGGAAAACACATAGCATAATCAAAACCAACAGATGAACATACAGTATCACCAGCTTATTCGAAGAGCTTGGGGAAAACCCTAGATTTTTTTAAAAAACTGTCTAAAGGTTTGCGGGGAACTCCAAACTTTCTAAGAGGATGCTATTCCAGGATCAGGACTCTGCACTGTACTTTTTGTCATCTGCATTGGTAGAGAATTGTCATATATGTATACAAGGCCAACTTATGCCATTTATCATTCTTAGAACTTCTGATATTTCTGTTAAAATATTTTCTATATAACATGTAGCTTTGACCTCAGCATTCTTAAATTAAGGCACTAAATATAAGGCATATTGGACTTTTAGGTGGTGCAGATGTGGCACCAAATCAGCTCAAATTCTGAAAAATGATTTTTCATTTTCATTTCATTTTGCACATTTCTGGTGAAATGCCAAACCTGCAGAGCCAAATTACTATGCCCAGGCTTTGTTTTCTGCAGCTACAGACTTCCAGTCCTTATGTGAATATACATCTTGGAAATTATGCGGATAGTACAACTCTTTTCCTCTGGCAACCTGCCAGACAATTCACTTGAATATTTTCCTAAAGTTCTGCAAAGACATTTTGCTTGAATTTGTTTTCTCTGTTTAGTGGTAAGCAAACAGTAGGTGGCATTCACTTAGTATGATTTGGATTTTTATAGTATGGTTTTCTTGGCTGCTGTTTATGACTAATTTTCTCCATTCTGAATCCCAAGCCCAGATGGCACACATCACTTGCCCACAGATTCCTGAAATATTAGTTTTAATTTACTGATGGCATAGCCCAGCAGGTTGCGGTAAAATGGAAGGAGTGGGGAAAATGGTACAAGTAGTAGAAGTTTGGTATTAGAGGAAAGGAAATCTCTTGTGTGTTAGGAAGCTGGAGCCCAGGGCTTGCAATTACCAGGATGTAAGAAAGAGCTCATGAGTGTAAAAATAAATGGAGAAAATTGTAAAGTAATTTGATCCCAGGGAGAAACAAGAGCTTCTTAGCAGAAAAAAGGGAGCTTGCAAGAAACCTGAAATTAGAAGAGGCGAGAGAAATGAACAAAACCTAATTTGTTGAAAATACAAAAGGTGCAATGTTGTGAGTTGAACAGAAGGTGCCTAGAGGCAAGTGCAAACCTAGGAACTCCACTGAGGGAAATAGACCCAGAGAAACCAATGTGGGAAGAAATGGCTAAAAAAAGTGGCTAGCTTAGTGCAATGTTTCTCAACCTCAACAACTTTGAGGTGTGTGGACTTCAACTCCCAGAATTCCCCCAGCCAGCATGATCTATCTCTTTTATGATTGTTACGACATACAATCATGATGGGCAAGCTCCATTTATGGTTGTAGAGGACTACTGTACATTTGCATGAATATCTTAGATTACTGCATCAACTTACCACTTAGAGTAGAGGTGGACAACTATGTCAACTTTACCACCTGTGGACTTCATGAAATTCTGGGAGTTGAAGTCCACAAGTCATAAAGTCCAAAGGCTGTAGTTGCCCATCACTGACTTAGAGTCATTATGATTGACATGCATTAAAAGCATTTGTAATAAACAAACAAACAGACTCTGAAATTTTCAGCCTCAATTAACATCTATGCTGGGAAAGGGCTGGGAAAAGGGCTTGGAAATTACCATTGGCACAAACCATGATGATTAAGTAGTGCATAAAACAGGATCACATTATATCTCTCTTGGCATTAGCACTTATATACAGCTTCATAGTGCTTTTACAGCCCTCTCTAAGCAGTTTACAGAGTAAGCACATTGCGCCTAACAATCTGGCTCCTCATTTTACCCACCTTGGAAGAATGGAAGGCTGAATCAACTTTGCTCTCTTGCTAGAGTTTCACG